TAATTATATACATATATATGCTATATAAATGTTCAATAAATAGCTTTCATATTTTAATGTTAACCTTCATATATATTATTTTAAAAAATAAGAAAAAAAAATTTTCAATATTCGATGTTCATAATTTTTTTTTTTTTTCAGATGAAGTACGAACTGGAACTTATCATCAACTGTTCCATCCCGAACAACTAATTTCTGGTAAAGAAGATGCGGCAAACAACTATGCTCGAGGCCATTATACTTTGGGAAAAGAAATAATTGATTTAGTCCTTGACAGAATTCGCAAGATCGCCGACATGTGTACCGGTCTTCAAGGGTTCCTTATTTTCCACGCGTTTGGTGGTGGTACAGGTTCTGGATTCACCAGTCTATTAATGGAACGACTTTCCATGGATTATGGCAAAAAAGCCAAGCTTGAATTTGCAATTTATCCTTCTCCGCAAATTTCTACTGCAGTGGTAGAACCTTATAACGCCATCTTAACTACACATACAACTTTAGAGCATTCAGATTGTGCTTTCCTCGTGGATAATGAAGCGATCTATGATATCTGCAGGAGAAACTTGGATATAGAAAGACCTACTTACACGAATTTAAATAGATTAATTGGTCAAATAGTATCTTCTATTACGGCTTCTTTGAGGTTTGATGGGGCATTGAACGTCGATTTAACTGAGTTTCAAACGAATTTAGTCCCATACCCGAGGATTCATTTTCCCTTAGCCACTTATGCGCCAATTGTTTCGATCGAAAAAGCTTATCATGAGCAACTGACAGTGATGGAGTTGACGTCATCTTGTTTTGAACCAGCTATGCAAATGGTAAAATGTAATCCTCAGAGAGGAAAATATATGGCATGCTGTTTACTATATAGAGGAGATGTGGTACCGAAAGATGTGAATGCATCCATCGCGACTATAAAAACAAAGAGAGCAATACAGTTCGTCGATTGGTGTCCTACTGGATTTAAGGTAGAGAAATGATAAATATTTTATTATGTATAATTATTTTATATTTTGTGCTTTATTATGTATAATTATTTTAAATATTTTTAAATTATTTAAAATTTTTCGTTAATTTAATGTACTGAAAATCTTAATGTTAAAAAGAATTAGTTTATGTTAGTTATTTTATATTAGTTTATGTTAGTTTATGTTATTTTGAATTCATTATTTATTATTAGGTAGGAATTAATTATCAACCACCGACAGTGGTACCTGGTGGTGATCTTGCTAAAGTACAACGAGCTATGGCAATGCTTGCAAATACTACTGCAATTGCTGAAGCATGGACGAGATTAAATAGAAAATTTGATTTAATGTTTGGGAAACGTGCATTTGTTCATTGGTAAATTTTCATTGATCAGAATGCGAAAAAAATGAATAAACAATTTTTTTTCAATGTTTAATTTTTTCGATCATAAACTCTAGGTATGTGGCTGAAAGTATGGATGAAAGTGAATTTAACGAAGCAAGAGAAGATTTGGCTGCATTAGAAAAGGATTACGAAGAAGTAGGCATGGACTCGACAGACGCAGGCGAAGGTGAAGATGAAAATTAATCTCACATGAAATCACATCTAATATTTTTGACAGGAATGATTTAAATGAACGGCGAATTCATATATTTTGTACAAATTATACACTGTTTTTGGTGGATTTTATTATTGATTCTATACATTGTTTTAATAAGTAGTTTTATTTTTAATGTACATATACACATTTTTAGAATTTTATTGTAAATAAAATTTTATATTTTTTTTTAAATTCTGTTTTTTCATTATTGTACTTTAAAAAAAAAAGTTTTAAATTTTAAGTTTTAAAAACTTAAAAGATGTTTTTAAGTTTTATTGCATGTTTAAATCAATTTAAAAATATAAATTAAATATTTGGTGAATTTTTAATTAGCTCTTCAACAATTTTTGTTGAAAAAAAAAGTATGCTGTTTTCAAATTACTGTATACAATACTATACTATATTTTGAATTTTGAATTTTTAATCAGATTCGTTAGATCTCAAAATTTTAATTATTATTTTTAATAATAACTTGACCAATTTTTAAAATTTTTTTATCTATTATAATAAAAATATCAAAAATTTTATATGAATAACAACAAATTAAAATCAATAGCCGATTATACGTAAAAAAAAAAAATACTCAAAATAATGTTCTTAACATTTTTTTATTAATATTGGTGAGGAGAAAACTAATTGACTAGAAATAAACTTTCTTTTGAATAAAAAAAAAAGTTATGTTAAATAAAATAATTATGATGCTAATTTCAATAATTCAATACTTTAATAATTTCAATACTTCATTTATAAAAGGATAAGAGGATAATAATTGTATTAAGATAAAATTCATAGATATTACAGGCTTTTTATTGTGTAGGACAGCACGCGGCTACACGAATTATATTACATATGTATAAATTCGTAATCGACAGCTTTACAGTTACAGAAAACTCTTATCGCACATACAATCATCTTTCAATCTTGAGGGAAGGGAAAGGATGACATATTTTCTTCTTTTTTATCCAAACTGCGATGTAACGGATAATACACTCGGTGTAATATGATATGAAAATGCGCGTGCGCGCGTCTTGAATCGTTTTCATTTCTGACACATACGCTTTTAAATTTGCTCTTCGTGCGTATTTCGCCGAGTGATACAAAAAACTCATGATAATATTAATAATAATAATAATAATAATAATAATAATAATAATAATAATAATAATAAAAATAATAATAATAATATTAATATTAATATTAATATCAATAATAATAATAAAAATAATAGTAAAAATAAAGAAGAGTGTCCTCGCATGACAATCGAAAAAGGAAATTTCAACTTGTTGATTGAATATGTCTATTATATAAAAAAAAAAAATGTTATGTTTGTATGAAAAACGGTGAGAGATAGTTGGGTAAGACATATGAGAAGAACCACAATAACGATGATGAAAATAAAAAACATTGATTGATCGGTACACCGATATATAAATGGTAATAAATGTCAACACGACGACAATGAAACGGTGGCATCAACGAGAACGTCTATTCATTCAATCCTTAGAATAATAATCAATATGTATCTATAATATCTAGAATATGATTCATCTATAAAAAAGTTACCATTGATCGTATATTTTGTAGGTTTACGTTCAATGGAACGGAATTTTTATTTTTCTTCATTTTATTTATTTAATTTTTTTTTTTCATTTTTACTTTTGTAATTTTTTGATAATGTACGAAACGGAAAGAGCGAATATTGAATATGGAAAACGACGTTTCGCCTTTGTCACTTTTCATCGAAGTCGAACGCGATTACAGCTATTATGATTTTATCGTAAATAGAATATCCTAATAAAAAGATTCTCGTTACGCATGTTACGTGACTTTTTTATGTTTTGCTTGACACGCGCGATAATAATTAGCAAATTTTTTTCATTTAAAACTTTGTATTTTATAAAATTTCTGTTCATTCTCTCTCGTTCTTTATCTCTCTCACTCTCTCTTTCTTTCATACATATTCAAATACATTTATATATAACCTTTCATAATCTTTTCTTATTCTCTCATTTTCTATCTCTTTCATACTCAATCATTTTTTTTTAAGATCGCCTCTCTCTCTTTTTAATTCAACAATTATCATCATCATTATCATCATCATTAGCTCATCATTTCTTTTTTGGATTGGCAGGCGAGTTAAAGCTGCCGCTCGCTGGACTAGAGATTTCATTACTGCTTTATTGCGCATCCGTTGTCCGATACGACAATATTCTTTTTTCACTCTTTATGTTTCTATCTCTTTCTTTTCTTTCTTTCTGTCGCTTTGCTCTCGCATCTTCGGGAACGGCTAAGAACCGCAATCCCAATTTTTGTGATTTCTTTCTCTTCTCTCTCTATCTTTCCATACTATCATTATCTCTTACTTTCTCTTTCCAGCGAATGTTTATTTTTCATTTTCTTTTCTTTTTTTTAGATATTTTTTTCTTAAATATATTCTTATATGAACAGTTCTTTTCCACTCAAACAAATTTGCACTTATAAACAATTTGTTTGTTAGGAGAAGAAATGTTTGACGCAAATCATTTTTTTTTCGCCAGTATACATAATTGTGAAAATCGTTGAACGAGCAAGCACAGTTTGTCTAATTGAACACATAGAATTGATGTAATAGACAGTAAAGATTTTTTTATTATATGATGCGTTTGTTTTATTTATAAAATCATGAACAAAAAATTGGAAATTAATTTTATTATAAATGGCAATGCTATCTGATTTCTTATTTATAATTTAAAAAAATAATAAAATTTGCATTTTAATTTTAGAATAGTAAAGTGGCAGTTGTGTTTTGAAACTATGTAAAATTTATTTTTATATTTTATATAAGAATATTTAAGTACTTAAATTCATGTAAATATGTAATATTTTTATATCTTAAAATATTATATAATTACATAAATATGTAATTCGCAACAACTTAATATATTATTATTTATTTCTTGAATAAAATCATAATAATAATGTTTGATTATTGTCAATTCATTTTTAGGCATAAAATATAATACATCATTTTTTGTAATTTTATGTAATGTTGTAGACTGTAAAAAATTTAAATGCTATGAATAATTTATTTTCTAATTCATTTTCTATTCAATATAATTTTCAATATAATTTTTAATTTCCATCAATCTCATCTTATTCAAATCGCATTAGAATAACAGAATAGAAATAATCTACTCGCAACATTGATTTCTTAAAGCAAAAACGAAATCAAATCAAATCAAAATATACACACTGCGTTGCTCGTTTCTTTATTCTTATAAATTTTTTTAACATTTCTATAATTGTGCGCTAGGCTCAACAGAGCAGAGGCATAGAACATCGATCACCAGAACGATCGTGAGACGAACTTCTGGCCAGATCTCTGTCGATCGATAGGAGAAAACTTAGACGAACAACGCGAGTCAAACGACGCGAGATGCCGACTGTCGGTAAAATGTCTATAAGGCACGGCTCGAGGATGTTCGTCTCTCATCGTCATTAAGATTTTTTTTCTTTTTTTTTTTTTTTTTTTTTTGCGTCTGATAGCCGGGTGGAAGAGAGAAACGTCGCCTTTGGCGAGTCTTGTTACTGTACGAAAATAAAGCAATTTTACATGGGGAGGATGATCCTCTAATGTTCAACTGACCGTGCAATGAGATTATTGTTATCATTTCACGATCAATCAATATCATATTTTGCCCGCATCAAAATAATGCAAACTCGTGGGGCAGTGATTACTCGTCCAGACAAATTACAATCGCAAAACATATATTCGAGATATTAAATAGTAATAGAATGATCGTACGAGACGCTACAAAATTCTATAAATTATTTTTAGTCCATAACAAGTGAGAAACTCAATGGTCGAGAGAGGTTAGATATCATAATCAAAAGAATCATAGAAACTTAATTATTATAGCGTTGGATTATAAGATTATTTTTAGATATCGAAGATATAAAAATTTGATGAACTAACGTCTGCTTAACTATTGAGCTTCTCAAATAATTTCCTTTTAGTCGTCAACACTGATAAAAGCCTCTAAATATTGATTCTTAAAACGCTACGCAATCTAATGTATAGTAACTTTGCTTGTACTTTTGTCGTTTCAATAAAGTTAGGAATATAATGCGGAGGTTTGCAGTTAAAGATATGTGTAACGTCTCATTGGATCCATAATTAATAGTATATGAACAATTTTAGGCTTTTGTTGTCTCGATTTTTTAATACTCGAAGTTTTCGAACTTGAATTGTATTTTTTTGGAAATTTTCAATACTATAATATGTACTATAATACAATTAATTCAATATCGATTTCAGTATTATTAATTAAAATTTTAATTATATAAGAACAAAGTTTGCTTTAATATTTGAAATTATATTTTTATATTTTTAATATTTTTTAAAATATCAAAAATTCTTTTCCAAAAAAACATAATTTACATTCGAAAACGCCTCAATCGCCAATTAGACTAATGCGTCAATGTCATAGTCTAATATAAATTTTGAACATCTTATTTACGATCTGCACATTGTAACTGCCGGAAACGAGTCTACATTCGTTTTTTTGTATAGCATTAAAGGCGCGCGAACTTGGTAGAAAAACGGTAACGCTAAATTCTAAAACGTATCAAAAACCATCGTCCTTTTAAGGCTGGTTGCATGAAGGAGGTTGCATACGAGTTTGTTGAAAACGTACACAGAATGGGGAGGAATCATGTCGCGTTGTTTCTTTGGTAATACGTACGACGTAATATATAGTAGTCAATTATACACACACCACCAGTTATGGTATCGTTCAAACCGCTAATAATTTCAAAGTTACACATACATATCCAAGCGTTATTGTCGAAAGTAACAAACGAGGAAAGGACACGCGCTCGCGCGTCTTTTTGCAAGCTCGAGGACACGATTATAACGCGGTCGTTCCAATTCTGCGAGAGCAAATTAAAAGACGAAGGAGAAAAATGAATAATAATAAAACCCAGATAAGGGTATAAAAGCGACATAAATCTAACCTATGCACGCCTTAGGCGCTTGCTTTATTAATCACACGAGGCGTATTTTTTTTTAATCATTAAATAAAAGTCACGCTAC